AGGCTGGCACAATACACTATCTCAGGCAGTTTAACTTTGTCCTATTGGTTTTTTATGAGTTGGAATCGACTCGATGGCAGTGGGTTTCGCCTGCTCAACATTATTTTGCATGCAATCATCGCTTTGCAACTATGACCACTCTCTATGTCTAAATAATCCCACCAATCATAACAAGGCTTCCCACTGCTTAACAAATTGCACCACCAGTCCCCCCCCCCTGCAACATATGTATACACACACATACATGTACACAAACACACTCACATAAAACCCATCTGTCTTGGAAGAAGTACAGAAGAGATTCAGAACCGCCTACACAATGACTCCCTGATCCTCACCCTTCTACCCTTGGAAGCCACTACTAAGCTTGGGAATCTACACCTTGGCCTCTTCTCGTGTATCCACTTTGGTATAGCCCTAAACTGAAATCAGAGTGTTCATCAGGAGCAGATCTCGTCCCACAGTGAGAACAAACTATCTACTGATCGACTGAGCAAACTATCTTCAGTTCGGATGAAGCATAAACCCAGTGATGAGGAAAGAACAAAAGAAAACCGAAAAGCCTAGCTGATCCCGAGTTTAAATCTTAGTGGTGCTGGGCGATGCACTGGGTCAGGCCTGGGGCTGCTCACCGTGGCTGCTAGCCTCTCTGCAGGAGAGAGAGAGGAGGGTGTCTGCTTCTGTAAAGATGGACACTTTCAGAAACCCTAAGGGGCAGTTCTACTCTGCCCCGGGATTGCCAAGAGTCAGAACCCATTGGAGGGCAGTGGGTTGCATTGATAGGAATTTGAAAAGCAGGCAAAGTGATGTAGGACAAGCCTGAACAGTGTCTGGGAGGGGATCCAAGGGGTGCCTCTCTGGTAGCTGGTCATGCTCTTTACGTAATTTTATCATGATTGAAATACAATTCGCAAAGCATGTGAATACAGGCCTTCCACTTTTGAAGCTGGGCGCTGGTTACGTGAGCGTGTTCCGTTGTGAAAATTCTTCAAGCAGCAGATACACCCTCACCCCTTCTGTGATCGCTGTTACATCTCGGTCATTGTTTGCTGGGGACAAAGAAGTGGGTAGATGTTGTTCTCAGATACAAGTGACTCAGCAGCAGACCAGGGGCCAGATGGGGGTGGGAGGTGATTTGCGTGCCAGCCGGCCCCTTTCTGGATGTGTGACCCCAGGCAAGTCACTTCCTCTCGCTGAGCTTTGGTTTCCTTCTTTGCACAACAGGGTGAGAATATAGATCACTTTCAGAAGGTTCGTACAGCGAGCCTCTGCTTATTCTACGAGTGCTTCCAGAGGGCTCTACCATGTGCTGGGGGCTGGACAATCAACAGGAACTAAAACTCAGAGCTCACAGGCCAGTAAGGGGGCAGACTTCCCTGGCAAACACAGCACACTTCTGGCTGGAGGAGTGCTGAGCAGCAGTGGAGCTCTTGGAGCTGGCGACATCCGGCGGGACAAGGAGCCGGCCATGGGAAAAGTGTGCCGCAGAGAAGCAGCAGTTTATGCACCGGCAGGAAGGAGCAGAACCCCGGCAAGGGTTGCACCAGATAGCCTGCTCTGATGGGCTTGGCATTCCCAAGGGCCCTGGACTTGGTTTAATGCTCTGCTTTTTGGTTGCCTTCCTGGGGCCCCTACATGGCACACACGGTTTACACTAGGTGGCGTGGTAGTTACACCTTGGGCTGCTAACCATTGGTAAGATGTTGGAAACCACTAGCAGCTCCTCTGCAGAAAGAGGAGGCTTTCTACTCTTGTAATGGGTTACAGCCTTGGAAACCCACAGGGGCAGTTCTGTGAGTCAGCATCGCCTGATAGCAGTGAGTCTGGTTTTGGGTTTGCCCTGAAGAGGGTAGGGGGCGTCTTTTGTAAGGGCCAAAGACCCTTCTGAAGCCAGAGGTGTATGAGCCCGCACAAACACCTCAGATGTGTGAACCTTATCCATCCCCCGCCCCCACCAGGCTACCCTGTGTGTCCGCTCTAGTAGAGCCTCCTGGTAGAGTCCTCTTAGAGCAGCGGTTCTCAACCTGTGGGTCGTGACCCCTTTGGGGGTCAAACGACCTTTCACAGGGGTCGCCTGATTTATAACCGTGGCAAAATGACAGTGATGAAGTAGCAATGAAAATAATATTATGGTTGGGGGGTCACCACAACATGAGGAACTGTATGAAAGGGTCGCGGCATGAGGAAGGTTGAGAACCCCTGAGACAGGTTTCTCTCCAGCCTTCACCACTTCCCGATACACTGTCTTCCCCGCCCAGTTCCCACAACCTATATGTTTGCCCAAGGGCTTTCTATGGCAGCTGGAGTCCATGCTGCCCATCATGGACTGAACTGTGTCTGTGTGTCTTGCTCACCCATTCCCAGTATACACTGAATTTGGCCCTGGTGCCTGTGGATGTGATCCTGTTTGGAAACGGGGTTTCTTCTCATGTTAATGAGCTCATACTTGAGCATGGCTTCTTCTTCTTTTTGAATCATTTTATTGGGGGCTCGTACAACTCTTATCACAATCCATCCCTCCATCCATTGTGTCAAGCACCTTTGTACATGTGTTGCCATCATCATTCTCAAAACATTTGCTTTCTGCTTGAGCCCTTGGTATCAGCTCCTCATTTTTACCCCTCCCTCCTTGCTTCCCCCTCCCTGAAGAACCCTTGATAATTTAGAAATTATTATTATTTTGTTCTGTCGTACACTGTCTGAAGTCTCCCTTCACTCACTTTTCTGTTGTCCATCCCCCAGGGAGGAGGTTATATGTAGATCCTTGTAATCGGTTCCCAGAGGAGCGTGGCTTCTAAAGCTAATCATTTCTGAATTATAAGAAGACCTGAATAGAGGCCCACCTGAAGAAGGCAGTTGTCAGGTGAGGAGTGTCTACAAGCTACAGAATATGAAGGAACCTAGCATGCCCACGGCTACTGACAAAGGAATCTACCCGACCAAGGCCTTGCCTTGGACTTTGAGCCACCAGAATGGAGACACAAGACATTGCTGTTCGTTAGAGACACCCGCTTGTGGTACTAGTGTGGCAGCACCACTGGGAATGAAAGTCCTGGCCACGAGAAAAGGCCTCCGCTAATGATTGACATGAGTTGGTGGATCAATACCAGAGCTCTTTGCCCTTCTGTGGGGAGACTCCCATATCTTCCTGAGGTCCTCAGTTGCCCCCAATGGGACTTTCATGTTGACATACCCTGCACTGGCCCCCATCCCCACCCCAGCCCCCTGTGGGTGTTTCCTGGAATCAACGCCTCAATAAACGATCTGCTTGGGGGAAGTCAATCTGCAACCATGCTTCCAAACACAGACAGCACGGCTCTTTGCAGGGTCTGTTTATTGAGAGTCTGTCTCCAGTAGGGCTGGCCGTGGCTCGTCTCTGGGCCTCTTCAAGGAGGCCCCCCTAGCAGCTCTTTGCTTCACGTCCTAGAAAAGAAAAGAGAATGGGGGTGACTTGAGGGGGTGGGCGGGAGGTTAGATTTGCCATAGGGGGTGTGTGCTCTGCATGGGGAAGGAGGCCAGGGGTGGGTACAAAGCTGAGTGCAGCCTACCAATCCACCCACTTAATGAAATGGAGTAGTTGGCATCAGGTTGTGGTGACTGTGTCCAGGGGTGATTATAGGCCAGGTTTGGCAGTCAGGAGGGGCCCCGGTAGCGAGCGGTTTACACACTGGGCTGCTAACAGCAAGATCAGGGGTTCGAAACCACCACCTGCTTCAAGGGAGAAAGACGAGGCTTTTCCTACTCCTATAAAGAATTCTACTCCTGCAAAGAATCTCAGAAACCCACAGTGGCGGTTCAACACATAGGTTCAGGGTTGCTGAACCCTGAACTCTAGGGTTGCTATGAGCTGGCGCCAACTCAACCGCAGCGAGTTTGGTTTGGTTTTTGGTGGCTAGAGGCGGTGCTGAGGTCTTGCAGACCGAAGTCAGGAGGCAGGGACTGAAGGCTGGACCTCGGTTGTCTATGTTAAAGGATTACAAAGGCGAGGGTCTTGGGGCCTGGCTGAGCCTGCGCAGACGGAGGCGGGGGTGGCAGATGCTGGAGCCCCGAGGGAATGTAGGAGGCGAGAACTCACCGAGGCGAAGCGCGGCCAAGTGCGGAGCAGGTTGAAGAGTGCTTCGCCTGGGCACAGGGTGTTCACGAGCTGGCGGTGGCCAAGCACCTTGTAGTCAGGTCGCAGGTAGCCGGAGCGCAGCGCGCAGCGGGGGAGCTCGTCCCGCACGGCGCGCAGCGCAGTCTCGGTGGGCAACTCTGCCGTGTAGTTGCCCACGATGGCCACCCCGAAGCCGCGGGAGTTGTGGCCAAGCGTGTGAGCGCCCACTTTGTGCCAGCCGCGGCCCTCGTACACGTAGCCGTCCGAGCCCACCACGAAACTATGGAGCGGAGTGGACAGAGGCACCACGTGGAGTCAGGATGACCGGACCACAGACTCCGCCCCTGGGTCTGGCCACCCCGCTCAATTCCGATGCAGCTCTTGGATTCTCTGCGGTCCAGCCCGCGCCCTGCACTGTCTCGCTGGCCTTCTGGCTCCACCTGCATCATTAGCCACACCCCTTCATTCTGGGGGCGTGTCTCCCGCCCAGCTCCCGCCCAGTTCAGACCCGACTTCTGCTTCAGGCCACGCCCAATCTTTGCCTGGCCTGCGGCCCGCCCAAGGCCTCGCCCCCTCTCCCAGGCCTCTCCTACCTTAGGCCCCGCCCCCTTCCACCAAACCAAGCTTCTTCACACAGTGCAGGGATTTCTGATCCCTGTGACCGTACGGCCCCTTCTGGGCTGCGAACCGTAAGCTCACTAGTTCGAAACCACTAGCCCCTCTGCGGGTGAAAGATGAGGCTTTCTACCCCCGTAAAGCGTTGCAGTCTCGGAAACGCTCAGGGGCGGTTCTACCCTGTCCTATAGGGTCGCTATGAATAGGAATTGATTGCTTGGCAGTGAGGTTTCCTTTTCTCTGCACCGGAGCTCCATCTCCTAGGGCAGCTCCGTTCCACCAAGCCCCGCCCCTCAGGCTCCGCCCACCCAGTCTGGGCCCTGCCCACCTGTAACCGATGTCGTCCCAGCCGCGATCTTTTTGGTGGTATCGCTGCATGCTGCGCATGTTGGTGGCGCAGTGCGAGAAGCTGGTGCAGGGCGGCGCGGGTATGTAGGTGTGGTGCACATAGAGGAAGCCGAGCGGCAACTTCAGAGGCGTCGGCTGGCCTTGGTAGGGCTCCGCTCCCCAGCGGCAGCGTGGATGGATAGCTGGGCACTCTGGAAGAGGGCCCAGGGCTGGGGTCAGCAGGCACTCCCACGCCTGCAGCTTGCACCACGGTGAAGAGTGCCTGTCTGGGCCATTTCTCCTGTCTCCTGCCAGAGTTAGGGAGCATCCAGAATCGCCTCACCTCGGCCCCCACTGGCCTTTCCCTTAACTTCATCGAACTCGTTGAGAGAAAGCCTAAGGATTGGAACCTACAAGGCTCTCTCGACCGACGGCTCAACGTTCTCTCTAGCTTACCTTAGGGACAGTCACACTGCGGAAAGAGGAAGAACCATCCAGCCATCCAGGAAGTCCAAGAGATAGTAAAGATTGACCACCCTAGCCCGGACACTCCCACCCTGCTTCACTGGCCAGAGTTCAGAGTGAAGCCACTGGACTGAAATCACGTGGGGAGTAACGGACTGAACTCCCATTCAAATCCAGTGGCCAGCTCTGGTCTCTAATCCCTTTGTGCTGGACTCGTGTGTCTTTGCATACGTGGGCCCACTGCCTGGAATGGCTTCCCACCCCTTTCTGTTTTGGTCAGATGAACTCCTATTCATCCCTCAACACCCATTGCCAATGCATTTTCTCACCTGTGCATCTCCCCTCTCCCCCTCTCCCCCCAAGCAGAGCACTTACTGCCCCTGTGGACTCCCTAAGGCTTTAGGTCCCCCGACCCCATGCGGCTGGGTGTGTCTGCAAGGGTGAAGGGATGGAGGTGGGGGCTTCTCACCCAAGAAAGCCTCGGTGAACTCCTTGGAGGCATGCCTGGCTACTCGAGTCATCTGACCTAGGTTCGTGTCCTTCAGCTGGGGGTGTGTGGGCTCCAGTCTCTGTAACAGGAGGAGGGCCCCCAACACCTCCTGGGCCAGAGTGGCGGCTGAGGTCAGGGCAGCTGCATTCTGCCGCCGGAAATTGCTGCGAAGCTTCGGCTCCCTGGCCACGCCAGCGCCGCCGCCGTAGTACTGGCTCAACAGGAGGCTGAGGGGTGGTCGAGGCTCTGGGGTCCGACTCAAGTAGTCTCCCAGGAGGACCCCGTCCAGGGCACCGTTAAGGAAGGCCGCGGTGAGCGGTGAGGCTTTGGGCTCCAGAAGGGTGAAGGTCTGAGGGGCAGAGAGCTGGTCCCAGCAGCCCTCACTTCCCAGGCCTGGATGGCCCTGGGTCTGGGTGTTCTGGAGAAAGGTGAGGCCCAGGTCTCTGGCCAGAGTGATGGCCAGCAGGCTGTCCACACTGGTGGGGAGCGTGGCGTTGGCCTCTGGCCAGGCGTCTTCCCCATTTGGAGAGGTGACATCTGGAGAGGCCACTCCGAGTCCTGGGGAGATGGTTCTGGCATCCCAAGGGAACACTGTGCTATTCAAGGGTAAGTTCACCATTCTGCGCCCCTGTAGCCCCGCCTCCAGCCCAGCCAACAGCGGCTGCACAGCCACAGTCGAGCCATCGGGTGCTAACACCACCCCATGCTCCTGCCCATCCTGTACACCATGCTGGGTCACTCTCTCCAACAGGCCTTGCAGCTCTGGGCTCAGTGAGTCAGGACCCAGTTTGATGACCTTGAGATCCTGCCTCTCAAATAGGAAGCTGTGGAAGAGGTCGTGGGCCCTGGTCTTCTGGACTGACAGGAGAGATGAGAAGGCCCTAGGTGTGGCCTCAGTGGCCAGTGCCTTCTGCTCCAGGTCCTCCAGGGCCTTGATGACGAGGTCCATGAGCAGGGGATAAGAGGCTGTGGGGAAAGGATGGGGGTGGTTGGGAAGCTGTTAGCTCAGCGGCCCAGGCCCACCCCTTCTGGAGCACCACCCCTACAACGCCACACTTTCTCAGACCCCGGTGATAAGGAAACCGAGGCATGCAGATGAGTGCTCAAGGCCCTGAGTTAAAGAGCTTGAATTATGTATGGGCACTAGGGAGCCACGGCAGGATTATGAGCGGGAGAGGGACCATCTAGGATTGTCCTTTGGGCTGCCATGGGGAGAATGGACTTTTGCGGGGCTGGAACAGGAAAGGGGAGACAGGGTGGAGAGGAGAAATAAAACGCAGGAGCAGCGGGGTAGAAGGAAGCAGGCTGTGTCCCTGGATACACAGGAGAAAAGATGAGCCAATTTCCAGTGATGGGTTGGATTGGGGTCAGTTTAGAGGGAGGGATATGCTGAAGGAGGCCCAGGGGCAGGAGCAGGTTGCACTCACACCTCTTTGGCCCTGGGACCCCAAAGTCCCGGATCTAGAGCTGGGAGTTAGGAGAGCCCCCAGTGATGGAAATAGCGAACGTTGGAGGTTCCAGTTCACTCAGAGGGGTCTTAGAAGAAAAGCTTGTCAACCTACTTCCCCCGAAACCAGCAATTCACAACGATGGAGGCCAGTTCTGTTCTGACACAGAGGGTCGCCACGAGGTGGGATTAATGCAAGAGCAACCAGCTGTGTTGAGCCACAGCTCATCTTTATTTACTAGACCAGTGCCTGAAACTCTCCGAACTGACGGAGACAACGGAACTCATTTCATCTTCGTCATAACCCTCTCAGGTGCAGTCCTGACAGTGGAGTTACTCGAGACACAGAGTGGTTAAGTTACGTGCCTGAGGTCAGTCAGCCTGGAAGTGGCAGAGCTAGGCTTTGAACCCAAGAAGGTTTCATTCCCATATTCTGCTGCCTATAAGGCAACTTCTACCCCAACTTCTACTCCTTCAAAACCCCGTTCTTCTCTCTGCTCTTTCCAGGCTTCTCTACCCAGCAAAATTCATCTCTTTCTTCCCATCCCTGATCTTCCCATCCTTGCTGTCCCTGTTTCTGCTTCCCCAGCCCCAGGTCCCTCACTTCTCCCTGACTTGGTCCAACAGGGCTTGGAGCATCTGTGTCCTTGGATTGGAGATTCCTAGAAGGCTGGCCCCGGCATTGGAGCCTCTGGCTTTGCCCTTGTGTAGGGCTGCACATTCTGCCCCAGCAGCCACCTGTTCTCTGACTCACCTGTCCCAGGTTCCGGCTGCAGCAGCAACCCAAGCAGGATCAGGAGGACACCGTGGGCCATCATTGTGGGGTTCCAGCTTCCAGGCGGCAGATCTCGTTGACCTCAGTGGACACTCAGCACTGCTGGGAGGACAGACATGGAGAATAGAGCAGGGCCTTTGGCCAAGGTCAAAGTCTAGGCTGAATGAGTCACTGTCCTTCGCAGAACTGTGGGTGGGAAAAGGTGAAGGGGGGAAGGTGGGGACTGGGGGCCACCAAGGTCATCTAGACCTCAAGTTCTTCTCCATCTTGTCCTTTCCTTCCAAGGTTGAGTTCAAGCTAGGGAAGCCCATCCCAGGAGGGTCTGGAGGCTGGGGAGTTCAGACTTCTCCCCATTCGCAGGAGAGGCCGAATGAGGCTAATCTAGCAAACCCTGTCCCTTCACATGGTGACCGCTGTATATCACTTAGGTCCCTGCTGGACTGGTCAGACTGGCTCTGCTGGGGGAGTGGAGAGAAGGGATGGCCTTGAGGTTGGCCCCTCCTGCTGGCCAACCTTGGGGCCAGGACTCTGGGTTCAGCAGGGAATCAGGAGATGCCACCACCTACTGGAATCCAGTTCTGTCCCCAAACCACCAGAGGCAGTGGTGTGTGTACAGAGGGCCCGGGCTTAGCCCAGGAACCATCTTCTGGGCTCACCTGATTAGACAGTGAGGGGTTTGCCCTCTTTTGTGGGTGCCTGGGCCCAAGTCCCTGAAGGAGTGTGCCTGCCTCCCCTTTATCCCTGCACCGACCAGGTGTGGCCCATGTGGCTAAGGCTGCAGTGCAAGTTGCTTCACTGTGGGCTTCCCACCCTGAAACCCAGCCTCGGGAGTTTCCCAGAGACCCACTAGGCTGAGGATTTAGCATGGAGGCGGGCGTGAGGAGAGGGGAATGCCCATGATGAGCAGGCCTGGGGTTTCCCAGGGCTCATCAGTGGAGCACAGGGCTGGCCACACTGAGGGATCAGGGGTACGTGTGGGCAGACAGTGGGGACCAGCCACACCCCAGAGGGCACAGGGAAAAATCCTCCTCCCAGCTTGAGTTTCCGAGGATTTGGGGACAGGTGCTCAGCTGGTAGAACCGTGGGGAGGATGGGGGCTGAGTATCCACCTGGGCTGGGGATACGGGTCAGCCTAATGAAGCATCGCCTTGGACACAGAATGTAAGGCAATGTCAAATGCCTCTCCACCCGCCCCTCTGAAATGTAAATGATATTCATTTATATATATAAAATGAAATATAAATGATTTTAATGCAATATAAAAGGAAATATAAATGAATGCAAAAAAGTCCATGATGTGCCCAGCCCCCTGCCATGGAGTCGATGCTGACTCAGAGGGACGCTCGAGGTCCCAGGAGGACTTCTGAGGGTTTCCAAGGGCATGCATCCTTGTGGGAGTCAGGAGTCTCGTCTTTCCTCTTTGGAGTGGCTGGTGGGTTCCAGCTGCAGATGCCACCAGGGACCCCGTGCAGGGATTAGGCTGAGAGAAGGAAAACCTCTGCACCCCAAACTGAAGGGGTTGCCCCACATCTTAGTCATCAAAATAAATAACATGTTCCTGCAAGTGACTAAAACATAAACGAGAGGAATGCAAGAAAAAAAAAAAGCCCATGATGTATAAAATATCAAGCTTTTCTACACAGACGGGGTTGGTAACAGCACCACGCCATGGTATATGGGAGCTGGAAGGAAAATGAAAGCCAGGAAGTCCCTTCCTGCCTTTGCACCTCACTTGCCTCTCCTCGAGGAGCCCTGGTGGGGTAGTGGTTATGCGTTGGGCTGCTAACCGCAAAGTCAGCAGTTCAAAATCACCAGCTGCTCCTTGGGAGAAAAGATGAAGCTTTCTACTCCTGCAAAGAGTTATCGTCTCAGAAACCCACAAGGGCAGTTCTACCCTGCCCTATAGGGTCTCTATGAGTTGAGACCGGCTGCATGGCCAGTGGCTTTGCCGAGCTTCAGGCTTAGCCCTGCATCCACCAGGGTGGAAGCCCAGGAGGCAAGGGGTGGCTGTGTCCTAGAGGGACCCACCTGACCATGACTTAGTAGCATGAACCCTGCTCTCCCCTGTCAGCTGGTAGCATGGGGGCACTCTACTGGTTGTATTTGCCTATGAATCCTCATTTTATCCAAGAGGGAGTTGAGCTTGGAATGTGGCTAGAATTGGAATGTGGGAAGGATGCTGGCATTGCAACCCACTATGGTAAGTCCCGGCGATGGTCTGGGTCAAGGGTCAGGGTCAAGTCAGAGGCCTTTCATATGGGGGAGATGATGTTTGCAGCCTGGCTGCTGAGCAGCTTCACTCCTACTCCCACCACCCACCGCCCTTGAGGATTCCTGGGCCAACCATATGGACACACTTGATTCCTCTTTATTATTTTTAACAGTTTTCTTGTCACGTAGTTCACATATCACACGATTCAGTAGTTTCAATAGTAGCAAGAAGAGCTGTACAGTAATCACCACAATCAGGTTTAGAACATTTCCTTCATTCTTGTACTCTTCGTTATTAGCTCCCCATTGCTCTCCAACCTCCCCTGCCCTACCCCCAAGGGACCATTAATCCAGTTACTTAACCTGGATTTCATATACAGAAAAATATTTCAAAACAGAAAACTAACCACAGTAACAGAGTAAAACTGATAGAACTCTCAATTGAAAAGAAAGCAGAAAATATTAAACATGAGAACACGTTAAAATGGATCATAGGGGAGATCAAATGATAGGGCACTGAATTGTAACCTAACTGCACCTGAAACAATCCACTGTCTAATGCCTTCTCCATGGTAGCAAGGCTCAAATATTTGAATCCCTGGTTCATGGTCAGAGGGGATCCACCAGGGGCTTAATTCACATATATTTCCCTTTCACTTAAAAACAAACTAACTAACTAACTAACTAACCAACTGAAATAGCTTCAAAATGGGTCAAAGGGAGATCAAATGGTAACATATTACCTTTGGACCTAACTCTAGCTGCCATAATTGACTTTAGAATGATCGCTATCTGATAACAGGGCTATTCACATCCCTCAACTATGATTGGAGGGAATTCACTGGAGGCTTAATCCATGTGGGAACCCTGCAGATGAATTTTGGGCTTCCACTGTCATCCACAGCCTTCTGCAAACTAGATGTTCACAATTGAAGCGCTGATACCATTCCCTCCTTTAGATTTGGATTATATTTTTACAATCCTTTGATCACACAGGGTGGTCTGCTTCTTCCATGTGGACTTAGTTGACACTTCACTGAGATGGTTGCTTGTTTGTAAACAAGCCTTTAACCAATGTGAATGTGGAGGTGGTGGTGGGTCGGAGTGGAGACCCAAAGTCCATTTGTTGACAATTGGACATCCCCTCATATAAGGTTTACAAGGAAGGAATGAGCCAGTCAGGGTGTAGTAT